TCTATACAATGTCCCCATTTAGATAGCTGTCTGTGTGTGAGCATGCGTGTGTCTGTGTGTGTGTATAAAACATCTGAACTTTTGGAAGATATATTTGGCAAAAAAAAAATATATATATATATATATATTCATCGCACTTGTACATCATACTTGTACAGTGCACTTTGTTGAATATTGCAGATTTAGGCAAATGTCTTCAGGGTATTCTAAGCATACAGACAACTGACATACTAGACATGGTATTCATACTATACTGTATACTGCTGAACTTGTAAGAGTAGTATGGTAATATGCTAATCTGAACATAGCCAGGGTGTCTGTTCTGACTGAAGACTTAGTTGTTAATTTGGCATAGGTTGATTGTGTGACTGGAATATGTCAGCATCAAAGCATACTGCTGGAAGCCTCACAGATATTGTCATCAGTCAAAATATTTATGGATTCTGAGCCTTCTCTGTCTCGCTTTCCTTCTCTGTATCCTCTTCCAACACTGAATGAATTCCAGTATCATTTAAGAACTTGGCAGTCATTACATTTGCAGACTCTCCTTGTTTTAACAGTTACATGGAAACGTACCAAAGCACAAGTAATTGCACCTTAATACGGTGCTGCACTCAGCATTGAAATGACAGTTTCCCACTTGCATTTAGACACTTGCATTGCAAGTGCATATATATATATATATGTGTGTGTGTGTGTGTGTGTGTGTGTGTGTGTGTGTGATCATATATTATTGATTAATGGAAGATGCATGTTACCAGAATGAAGTCATAAAAAACAATTACATTATTTTTATAATAAATGCATTTATTTATTTATTTTAAGTTATTTATTAGAAGTAATATCTAAATAGCTGTTTGGCTGTTGATTAACATTATTTTGTCAGCGGAAAAGGACAGTTGTTTCAAAGGAAGAAAACTTTGCATGTTGATTAAAGAATACAATGGCAAACTTTAACTTACAAATAACATGTTCTAATGAATCTCTGACGCTAAGGTCAGGAACATGCATTGTGGAAGTAAATAAAGGTCATGAAGTCTGAAACGACATTGAGACAAGCAGCATCTTAAAGAATAAAGTCTGACAGCATGCATGTATCTGGTCCTGCGGAGAGAGTCCAAATGGCTGGATTATTACCATAGCATGCCTTGTCTGCTAGGACCCGTGCTCTGCTAACCCTCGTCCCAGAATCAGATTGAGTCTGGAGGCCTGGAGAGAGCAGACTGATTCATTCAGGGTACAACCGCCTCTTACCAACCCTCCCATATGGCGCTGCTTGCATGTCATTTACTCAATATGCGGGGCTCCGATAATTATGTAAACCATAGACGAGCGTATTAACGATTAACTGCGTTCTCGCTCCTCTCTCTTTAGCCCCATTTGTTACATCTTCCCTCCGTCTCTGCTCCATTTGGCGGGTTGTCCTATAGATGCCTTTGGAAAAGAGGCAACGGCGAACCCTAATCGCTTGTCTCGTCTCTGCAAGTGGCAATGGAGAAATACAACTCCAATAATGAGATTTGGCTGCACATTAGCAATGATGATTGCTGTGGCTGAATGGTGTGCTGCTGTGTTGTTGCTCTTCATTCAAAATCAATGATAAATTGTTTAGGGGAGCTTTGTTCCTCAGCCGAACGGCTGGACTAATGTTACTCAGACGAGAGAAAGGCTGCTTTACCGTAATCCCTCCCCCTAAAGTGGCTGATCTTTGCTGCTCGATTGCAGGCTTTTTTTTATATCTCAAAACCTCTTAGCACATTTATTTAATTTAACATCTGAGATGATGGAGTCAACTGTCAGTTTTATCTCATTGTCCAGACAATTTCAGGCTTCTGACACATTTTTATTTGAGGCTAGATTTGCTTTGAACCAGGGAAAGTGGATGTACTAAGCATCCTTAAAACACACAAAACATCATGTTTTGCTTATGCATATATTCATCTATTCCAGAAAGAACAAAGCTAATGATTATCTCATCAAAAGCAAGCACACGTCTTGCGGAGGAAAAAAAAACTACAATGCTGTCTGAGTTTACTATTGAGAAAAGTACTCACTGGAGTTTAAAGGCATAGTTTATAGTAATATCACATTTTTCTTTCTCTTACTCGCTCTCTGAACATGTCTTTGTATGTTAGAGATTCTTATCCATTATTTATTTGAGTAAAGTTCATGAAAATCCTGCGGTGCTAGAAATACTTAATTTTGTTCAAGATCCAGGTGTCAGTGCATTTGCTTTGTGTTGCGTCAGACTTATTATTGTCAGCAGGACAGTTGAAGTTATTTCAGAGAGAGACCACATAAAAACATTTAACTGGGTTTAGGACATGCTTCCAACTGAGAGGACAAGAAAGGCAGTTATTGTTAGTGTTTCAGCTGTGTACTTACAGTATATTGAAGATATGACACGCATTCCAGCCCTCTAATCAGCTGGAGTTTGTAATATATTGGTAACCCAGCAGGAGTGACTATGTCCAGCATGCTTGCTTATGCCAACCAAAGTAGAGGACATAATGAGAGAAGTCTACCCATGAAAAGGGCACCATGTTTCCATGATACTTTTCATTTACTCATCAGACCTTTATGAGCACAATTAGCATTTAGAAAAAAATGAAGATTCTCTCACTTGCCCACATCGCCTACAACATGCTTTTACTCTAATAGGTAATTGCAAAGTTGGACAAGCAATATGAATCTTTTTTTGGGAAAAGGAAGTCAATAGAGTTCCTGACATCTGTAAAGCAGCAAATTGTTAGTGGCAATCTTGGCTCAAATGTGCCCTTCCGTCTCAAATTGTCTGAAAGGAAAAGAAAGCCATAAACATCAGGGACATTTCAGTGACATTAAATAATGTGGGGGTGGGGGCGGTATTTATTCCCTCATTTCTTAGAGTCACCTTGAATGTCATTTGGTCAGCACTGTAAAACTTTGAACCTCGGAGTTCCAAGATTAATGCTTTGCTGGGGTGAATTTTCCTTGGAGAGTGCCGACTCTATTCACCAACATGGTAGAAAGCTGACGAAAACAAAGATGGAGTCAAGATCAACATGAATATTTCCCCTTGAATTGAGCTGCCATAGATTTTTAAAGCCCAATCAGGCCGTGCTTGCTTAAAGAATGCTTTTTTTTTTCTTCTTTGCTCTCTCTGCATTCTGAGATTGGCAGTGTGCAGTAATTGGGAAAGATGTGAACATTTGGGAGTCTCTTCTTTCAGACGAGAGAAAGGCTGCTTTACCGTAATCCCTCCCCCTAAAGTGGCTGATCTTTGCTGCTCGATTGCAGGCTTTTTTTTTAATATCTCAAAACCTCTTAGCACATTTATTTAATTTAACATCTGAGATGATGGAGTCAACTGTCAGTTTTATCTCATTGTCCAGACAATTACAGGCTTCTGACACATTTTTATTTGAGGCTAGATTTGCTTTGAACCAGGGAAAGTGGATGTACTAAGCATCCTTAAAACACACAAAACATCATGTTTTGCTTATGCATATATTCATCTATTCCAGAAAGAACAAAGCTAATGATTATCTCATCAAAAGCAAGCACACGTCTTGCGGAGGAAAAAAAAACTACAATGCTGTCTGAGTTTACTATTGAGAATAGTACCTAACTCACTGGAGTTTAAAGGCATAGTTTATAGTAATATCACATTTTTCTTTCTTTTACTCGCTCTCTGAACATTTCTTTGTATGTGAGAGATTCTTATCCATTATTTATTTGAGTAAAGTTCATGAAAATCTTGCGGCGCTAGAAATACTTAATTTTGTTCAAGATCCAGGTGTCAGTGCATTGGCTTTGTGTTGCGTCAGACTTATTATTGTCAGCAGGACAGTTGAAGTTATTTCAGAGAGAGACCACATAAAAACATTTATCTGGGTTTAGGACATGCTTCCAACTGAGAGGACAAGAAAGACAGTTATTGTTAGTGTTTCAGCTGTGTACTTTTACAGTATATTGAAGATATGACACGCATTCCAGCCCTCTAATCAGCTGGAGTTTGTAATATATTGGTAACCCAGCAGGAGTGGCTACGTCCAGCCATGTGACTACAAGCATGCTTGCTTATGCCAACCAAAGTAGAGGACATAATGAGAGAAGAAGTCTACCCATGAAAAGGGCACCTTTTTTGGGGGGGGGGGGGGGGGGGGGTGAATAAAGAGTTTCCATGCTACTTTTCATTTACTCATCTGACCTTTATGAGCACAATTAGCATTTAGAAAAAAATGAAGATTCTCTCACTTGCCTACATCGCCTACAACATGCTTTTACTCTAATAGGTAATTGCAAAGTTGGACAAGCAATATGAATCTTTTTTTGGGAAAAGGAAGTCAATAGAGTTCCTGACATCTGTAAAGCAGCAAATTTTTAGTGGCAATCTTGGCTCAAATGTGCCCTTCCGTCTCGAATTGTCTGAAAGGAAAAGAAAGCCATAAACATCAGGGACATTTCAGTGACATTAAATAATGTGGGGGTGGGGGCGGTATTTATTCCCTCATTTCTTAGAGTCACCTTGAATGTCATTTGGTCAGCACTGTAAAACTTTGAACCTCGGAGTTCCAAGATTAATGCTTTGCTGGGGTGAATTTTCCTTGGAGAGTGCCGACTCTATTCACCAACATGGTAGAAAGCTGACGAAAACAAAGATGGAGTCAAGATCAACATGAATATTTCCCCTTGAATTGAGCTGCCATAGATTTTTAAAGCCCAATCAGGCCGTGCTTGCTTAAAGAATGCTTTTTTTTTTCTTCTTTGCTCTCTCTGCATTCTGAGATTGGCAGTGTGCAGTAATTGGGAAAGATGTGAACATTTGGGAGTCTCTATGTGAATCACAAGTGTATTTCAGACCACCAGCACAAGGCACAATAGCATATAAAAGCTGTGGCCTCATTTAAATCATGCTGTACTGTCACTCACATCCCTGTGAGAGTTCACCAAATGAGCAGGCAGCAGGTGTTTTCTCCTGTGGCACTGATGGGTGTGTTTGTACATTTTCTTTGCAGAACCTGATCAAAAACCTTCCTGAGCAGAAGGAGCTGAGCAATCTGGCCGAGCTAAAGAGTGAATACGAGGAGCTTTGTGAATCAGAGCAGTTTGGAATTGTGGTGAGTACTGAGATTGTAGTACTTAAAATCACTAGCACAACTCCTGCAGATTGTAGGGCTCCAGAATAAATGTTTACATAATAATAATTATTATTTTGTTTAAATAAGTATTATATGAAAGTGTTTAGTTATAGATAACCGTTAACAACAGAGCTTTGATGTAATAAATGGTACTGCAGTTGTGAGGTGGAATCGATAAGCAAGATCTGTGTTGTGGGGCAAGACTATAAGGTGGGTGTCATGCTGGAACCATAATGAAGTCAATGTTTATCTGGACGTTTTTCTCCCAAAAAAAGACAGAAATACTGTTACAGACTGAAATTTATGTGGCACAAATACTGTTCTGGATCATTAGAGGAACAGCATGAAATTGGAATATAACATAATTGAAAACACTGCACTAAATACCAATACTTAATAAAAATAAATATAATGGTTTGCAGAAATTTCTGGAACCACCTCTGAGTCAGTGTCCTTTCAGTGCATCCAATGAACTGAAGTGCGTATTTAGTGCATGTTGGCAGATGATGTACAGTGTTTGTGTAAGTTACTTTCAAAAAGTAATTAATTATTAATTACATCATCAATATTGTATTTCAATTTTTCTAATTATGTATTTAAATGTATTTGAACTTTTCTCATTACTTTGTCTGAAAAGTAATTTAATTACTCAATAAGTAACTTTATTATTCAATTTGTTAATTACATCTTAAAATCCCTATAAACCTTAAAGCATAGACAATAGAAATTAAATTCTTTATTCTTTCAATTTGAGTCAAACATGGAATAGTTTAGCCATTTAGTTGTAATACTTAAACATTTTAATAAAAAATGTAACCTTGCTTGGTTAACAAATAGAATTCATCAGCAAAATATCTGAATAACAAAAAGCTTAAGAAAAGTTAAACATTACATGTATCAAGCTGTAAGCATTATACTTTTCAAAGCAATGAGTACCATATTTCATACACACTGACATACTGTATTGTGACATGTATTGGCAGTCACTAATGCTGATTTTACTTACTCCTAACAAAAAAGATTTAACAACATAAAAAAAAAAACCATTTAACAAGCAGAGGGTTAAATATGCTGCATTTTACCTTTAGACAGTAAATGTAGATTTCAAATTTAATATTGATTTTCGAACTGTTCCACACACCAGCTGATTATCTGGATTCTAATAATTAATCAGTAGATGAATATGGATGACACCATGAGCAACCATCTGTTTCGAGCAATTCTGTAAACTAAAAAAAGTAATTTGGTTCCTGTGTTTTAGGTGCAGCTATTTCCAAGGTGCAGGTGCCTTACCCGGTGCCCATCATTCCGTGTGTTTCTGTTAAAGACATTACAACATCAGAAGCCAAAACAAAACAGTTACACAAAACTTGTTCACTAACATTATAATCAACAGCCAAACGCTGGGCTTGGCACCAGCACCAATAGTTTGATGAAAAAGAGGGAATATCACACTAAAAAGCATTTAAATTGTCTATCGATTTTATCTTTCTCATTTTCTTAGTCTTTTCTTCCCCTTTTCCTCTTTCAGTCTCTCTTCTTTGACTCTGATTCACTATTTCCCCTCTACTTTTCGTCACACTCCAGAGAATAACCCTTCACACATCTCTGTTCCACTTCCGCCTATTTCTCTCCTCCACTTTCTTTTTCTCTCACTCTGATACCAAAATCACCCTCCTTTCCATTTCTTTTGTTGTTCACACCAATAGCTCTCTACTTCCGTGTGAAGGATTTTGAGCTGAAAAGCAGAATGGGGGGCAGCGGGAAATTAGGCACAGAGAGAGAGAGAGCGTGCAGGAGAAAGAAGTCTGCCTTCAGGCTCAATGCAGGATCAGCGCTATTCAATATGTAAAGAGACTCAGTAATGTATAATTAAAAGGCCAAGAATATAAAGGGCATTTTTTATGACAAGTCAAATCTGGTAGCCTGGTTGTGACTGACAGAAGCTATGCTTTTGATGAATAATAAAGAGTAAGGCAGAGCTTTATTTTACTACAGAGCGTGATTAGGTCACAAGCTGGAAGGGCTTTTAGAATTCCTTCCTATATTGACAAATCTCATTAACGTTGGCCTTTGTCTTGACTCTGTCTCAAATATTTAAGTTTCTCTCTACATCAGTTCTGCACAGTGCACAGGTCTACACTTGATGTGATTCGCACCTGGATTAAAGGAATAGTTCACCGAAAAGTGAAAATTCTGTTATCATTTAATCACTTTTGTTTCCTTACAAACCCCCGTGGCTTACTTTATTCCATGGGACACAAAAATAAATGTTCAAAAATATGTTTTTATTCAATTGTGGCCAAATAAAATAAGCTTTTACCTTTGCTTGTCAGTTCCAGTGTATGCTGACAACTTTATCAATGAACTGAGGACTCTGTTTGTTTGTTTTGTATATCTGTTTATTTTCTTGATGTATATTTGCTCCTTTTTTAAAGTGACTTGGACCATAAATGACTTGGAAAGGTGCTATATAAAGAAAAAAAATCATTAATTCATTCAACAATGGATTTGCTCTACTATGGATCTCACAGGTGTGGCTTCCATAAACGTTTTTGTTGTCATGACAACTGGTGCCCATTTGGTTTTCTGTGAGTTTTGAACAAGAGTAATAAAACTAACAAATCAACTTTTTCAGGTACAGCATTCTTTCATTGTAAAGAGAAGAGCATTCCACGTAACATTAGGGGGAGCAAATGATGACAGAATTTTCATTTTTGGGTGAACGTTTCCTTTAAGCACTTCAATATATATATATATATATATATATATATATTTATTATTTTTTACATGAGAACTCTGCTTTACAGTTGCAGTCATGCACAGGTCTATCTAGTCTGATTCATATGCATTCCTTTTCTGATATTATGGCACATCTGACAAACCTGCCTTTGACAGCAGATTCACATAGGAATCAATTCAGTGCAGGGTAAAAGAACAACCCTCTCGCTCTCTCTCTGTGTTATGTCTTTCACTACCTGTGTCTTTGGAGGGCGTAATGAAGCACGTTGTGACAGTCTCCTCCTGTGACTGAGCTCAAGGCGGGTAATATACAGGCAGGCTGTGGAAGCACCTCATCAACACCACCTCGCACTGCTCCTTGGGGAAATAAGTTACTCTCAGCTTGTCTCCCTCCAGAGCTGTCACCAACTCACCCTCTTTTATTGTGATTTTCTCTTATACAGAGAAATCAAATCTGGATGTGCAGGGAGGAGGTGGGGCTGGGCGGTGAACGGGGGCGTGGGGCAGACTCAGGGTTTTTTGATTGGCAACTTGCTCATAAAGATGAATAAATGTGAGCGGTAATGGTACATCCAGACTCCGTCTCTGGGCTGCCTGTGAGCGTCAGATTATGCAGAAATCGAGAGTGAGAGTGTCTGAGGTCGCCCTCCAACAAGCAGCTCCTGTAGGATCCATGTTTTTGTTGTTTTGTCTCCTTGCTTCTTCCTTTCCTCCTCCTCCTCCTCGCTGTCTTTTAACTGAAATGCCATCTCACTCCAGCACCAAACCAGTTATATTGTTGCTGTTATTACGCTTAAATGTAATTATAGGTGAACGGCAGAATCTGACATTTATTTGTTACAAGATTTGTAGCAAAATGTCTGTTTACAGCGTTAACACAATTGAACGGGTAACTTCTTAATTTTGTTTATGGGCTTTTTTTGTAACTGTGCCACAGCTCAGACTTTTTTAACCTTGTTTCTGGTTTTATTGTGAGTGATTCATCAGTGTGCAGTATTATAAGTAATAAAAAAGATAAATAAATAAATAAATAAAGGTTTAGTTAGGTTGAATCAAAATGCAGTAACTTGCTGTACCTTTTGTGCTTCAGGCCAATCTAAATAGCTATTTAATCATCAAATGAATACAATAACCAGTTTCATTCTGAAATATTTCATATTCCAAAAGCAATATTTGTGTGTTTTGTGATAACTAAGGATGTTTAACTTTAAGTTGTTCTTTCTCCATTTCAGATGAGCTCAGTCAAGATGCTGCGTCCACGACTGAACGGGATCCTCTTCAAGCTGACGTTTGAGGAGCAGGTGAACAACATCCGGCCCGACATCATGAACGTGACATTCGCATGCGAGGAGGTGAAGAAGAGCGAAGGTTTCAGCATGATTCTGGAGCTGGTGCTGCTGGTCGGAAATTACATGAACGCTGGCTCCAGAAACGCTCAGACATTCGGCTTCAACATCAGCTTCCTCTGCAAGGTACCAAACAGAATCCCTTCTATTTGTTTCTGAAACTGCACCTTATGCGCTTAAATTCCAATCAGAAGTTCTATATTGTGTTCATAATAACATCCTGCAGAACTTTGATTACCTCATGGATCATCCCACAAGGGGTTTGAACCTACAATCTTTTGGGCACCAGACCAGCAAGCTTCAAATTTATCACTTGCCATTTAGCAGATAATTTTATCCAAAGCAACTTGGAGTACTCATCTTACAGGCACAGTAACCCTGGAGTAACAAAGTGGTGATGGATCATGGATCATCCCTTGTGGGTCTGGAACCTACAACTTTTCGGGTACAAACCCAGATCTACTGAGCAAGGCACATGCATATTTAACCTCAGGTTCAAAGCATCTGCTAAATGACAAGTAGAAAAGTAGAAACCTGTTTAAGCAGCAGATTTACATCAAGCTGAAATTGTCTTAAAAATTATGCCTGTTAGGTGCAATAGCCATCTTGGATTTAGTGATCGGTGACAGTTATAGACAAACTTAACAGTTCCACCCCAAAAGACAGTATTCTTCATAATATTATCTACTCTAATACGGCAAGTGTGTGTTTCTGTGTTTATTTATAGAGCTGGCAGGTATGCCTCCCTACTGAGATCATTGTAACTGTTACCAGAATGTGTATGAAAGCTGTAACTGCTGTTGTTGTGTATGTAAGACGGACATCTGGCTGTGTGTTTTACAAGCTGATTTGGATGGCGAAGCCATTTGGTCCCACTATGAAAGACAGACACCCCCCCCGCCAGTGTTCTCAGGCAGCCAGAACTACACCGTCACTCTTAGTTACATCTCTTTGCTGGCCTTGTCATCTATTCAGAGGCGTACCAGATGCTGCTGGGACACAGGTGTCCCAACCACAGGGGTTTAAACTGGAGCCAGTTGTGGCATATCTGAATGGTTGTTCTTTTTTCTATTTACTTTTGAGCACAGTCGAACCTGTTTCCAAAGGCCACTGAATTACAGTTTAACACTAGGAAATAATTTTTCAAAAAAGCTGTCGCAGTTGCATTTAAGAGTTTTATAGTGTGATTTGTAATCAAGGTTCGCTTTTACGCCACTCTCTAAAACACCTCAGTACCACCACAAGCTTGCGCTCATAAACATACGAGCCCTTGATGAACATCTCGCTTTCTCTTAAAGTGTGCTTGCATGCAAATTGTTACTTGATTAAAAATGAATATGAAGTATACGTTGTCAAAAACTGCATGCACATGCATTTTCATGAGGAAGTCCTTCACCTCTTTCTGTCAGCTCCTCTGTTATATTTTTGTTCATCACTGAACTTAAGTAGTTCTAGTAGCCTTGGTTGGCATTTGGCTGGCTGGCTGGCTCATGGTTCAGTAGTATTGCATTCCTTTTGTCCATTCCATTTGGCCTTTCATTCGCTATATTTCATTATATGAGCAGTCTTATGAATCAGTATTGCTTTCCTTCCTTCCTTCCTTTTCCTTCCTTCCTTTCTTCATATTTGTCCTTTCTTTAGTCTTTTCTTTCTTTAGGTTCTTCTTTCTGTTGATGTATTGTTTGAGCAGTGTAATGATTCAGTATCACATTCATTCTTTCTTTCTTCATTTTATTTCTTGTCTCTTCTTTCTCTCACCCATTCTTTCTTTTGTTATTTCTTTATTTGACCTGTCAAATGATTCAGTGTTACTGCGTTCATATTGGTCAGACTCACATTTACGGAACATTAGTGAAGTGCCTGCAGTGCAGACAGCTTTTCACTTGAGCACTGATTGGGCAGTTATTGATGGACAAAGGGAAATGCCCACATTCTCAATCAGTCCAGTCAAGTAAATGGCCCCCTACGTGGCAGACCTCAGCCTGCTAACGAGCTCATCAGGGAGGGCCGGTCGTGGGCTGACCCGTGGTCCATGACTCTCACAGTCACACTTTGTACCAGCTCTAGTTCTCATTTGCATATTCCTGAAACTTCCTTCTGCATTCTGAAAGTCCTTCTACTTTTCTTTAAACATCTGGGCCCATATTCACAAAACATCTTAAGGCTAAAAGTAGCTCATAAGATGCCGAAAAAATCTTAAAAACAATGTGTCAGTTCTAAATTTAGGACTCCTAAATTTTTGCTCCAAGAGTATTTCACAAAGCGTTTTAGCACTAAAACTAGCTCCTAAATCTGTGAAATGTTAGGAGTTGTGAAGAGGACTCCTAAGTCACTGAGACCAAGCCACAAACTATCCTAAAATGGCTGTTCCAGCAATCTGCCTTGGAATGTAAACATTTTAGAAACATTTTCGGTTTCCCCCTCGGTAGAAATCGCGGTCCAGGGGCACATAGACCGGACCGAAAGGACACTTTAGCATCGGCGATTAAAGGGGCAGGGGCCCGAGCCCGAGCCTGAACCCCCCGCCCCTATGCACGGCACTGCTATCAGCCATGATTATTCCACTCTGTTAATTAAAAGCTGTTTATATGCATATTCACTAATTGTTTACAAGAAGCATACATGAAAGAGGCTGACAATTAGCTGAACATATACTTGTTTAATTAGTTAATTAATTACTTAATTAATTAGTTTAATTTAATTAGTGACCCTTAGCCTGCATTTTAAAATATTTATTTGAATGTGCCAATTAACATTTTTTATTTTTAAACCTTTATTTGAATATGGCTACATAAAATCGTGCTCTACAATATTTATATGTATAAATCTCTGACAGAGCCTGCTCCTGTCAGCCAATCACTGTGTGCATAGTTAGTAAGCATGCTGACATAATCCATAGCAACGAGGTCAACCCCGCCCTTACTCTTAGTTTAAGACTTCTCTCTATTCCTTAGTAAAGGTTTATCTCAGCAGCTTTGTGAATTGGTTTTAAGAGAAAACTCTTAGCTAAACTTTTACTGCTATTTAGGAGAACTCTTAGTGGTAAGATAAAATGTTTTGTGAATACGGGCCCTGGTATTGTTAAAGAAACAGCCAACTATAGTCACTGCCACCACTGCCAGAAGCTTGCTTTTCTCACTACTTATTAGACAAACACTGCTCTATCAATTTTTAGGCAGTAGTAAACCGTCAACTGATTCCTGCAGTTCTAATCACAGAAGTCACTATACTCAGACATAATGTATTCATTGAAAATATATGAACTGTGCTAGATTTAAACCTGTTGTTTTGTAAAGGGCTGTCAATCGATTAAAATGTTTAATCTAATAATTGCATAATGTGGCGATTAATTAATCTAATTCAGTGGTTCTCAAACTTTTTACAGCGGCGTATCCCCTGGGGCATTTAACATTCTTCTGTGTAACCCCCTCTCTTCCACAGCAGTCACACCTTTTCTATTAAAGGACAGTATTTGCCCCCTTAAACTGATTTACTGGTGCATTAGTTTTACCTTTATAGAGGCAAAGATGTTCTATCCTTGTTAATTATATGTTATGTTTTATGTCATATTCTTAACATTCCATTAAGTGTATTATTAATATAATAAATAAAGCAAAAAAGTATGGCAAATCAAAGTGATACTTGTAGATTTAAAAATAAAACCGTCAATAGGTGGCGGCAAGTCGCTGTCTTCCAGGCGTCGCGTCATTAATTAATTCATTAATTCAGTAATGAAGCAAAATGTAGTTATGAATGGGTTATTAATTACTGACTCTCCAAATCGTTCAAAGCCGCATATTAGGTCACTAACGAAACGCGTCGCGTCATTAATTAATTAATTAATTCAGTAATGAAGCAAAATGTAGTTATGAATGGGTTATTAATCACTGACTCTCCAAATCGTTCAAAGCCGCATATTAGGTCACTAACGAAACACCACTGTATGATGCTTGGAGATGCACATGATACGGATTTCGTTGGAACTATTATTATTTCGTTGCAAAATATAACAAACATGACAATATTCTGTTTAAAATGAAGGCTACGTTTAAGATGTTAAATGTTCACATAATATGACCTTTTTTTGTTGAACTGTTGTAAAAACGGTCACATTTGCCATCGTTTGGATATTCAGGGAAATTTGTATTATTGCTCGAATTTTAAAACAATGAAAACAATAACTCGCACAGGGTATGTGTCTTTATCGACAAGTCGATGTTCCATCAACAAAAATCGATCTCAATGTACAGTGCGTGTCAATATTTGCTCTTCATGCTATTAAGTGAAGATCTACTTAAAGATACATTGAACAGCAGCGCGATTTGCTAAAGCAGCATATTCAGCTGGCATCCTATCACATGCACGCTGCTTGTGTGGATGCAGTCAGTTTTGACCTCAAAAGATTAGGTAAGCTGATTGGATATCATGTATTTGACCGTTTACGGCACTCCCATTTTCACATTAGAAGCGGCATTTTGCTTGTCAAAAAGACATTTTCGGTTTTAATGTTACTTTAAGTTGGGGTAGAATTAAATGAATGCCAAAACTCAGAATTTTGTTTGCGTACCCCCTCCGTCACCTCGCATACCCCAGTTTGAGAACCACTGATCAAATTAATTGGAAATTAAATTTGGCTGTGAAAATACCCTCCAAAAGATAATTAATTTTAAGCCATTATTGTGTTAATGAGAAAAGTATCAAGCAGTCAAAGTAGCTTTAGCGAGAAATATTTTATTTGATTCAACATAACATTTGTTACACAAGCATTTATGCTATAACGGCCTAACATAAACTATGGAACATAAAATAACATGAGTAAGTAATTGAGTCATTCATTCACTCGATTCGTTTAAACTGCTGATTCATTCAGGAATTAAGTAAATGGCTCTCTTTATGAATGGTTCATTGAATCATTGGTTCACCTGATTCGTTCAAAACGTGGATTCGTTCAGAAATTAATCACAGCTGTGTGTTGCTCTGAAATGCACAACGGTTCTGCTGTGGTTTTGTAGGTAATATTTTTGTTGGCAAAATTGAGCAAAAACAGAGAATATTGTAGTTAAAATATTAAATATATAAATATATATAAAATATATAATTATTTTTCCTTAACTAATTAATTAAAT